GAAAAAGGTACAGTAAGTGAATGGTGGGTACTTAAGCTTAGGGACTGTTATGGTTTGTGTATAGGTGTCCGCCCAAAGCCTCATGCAGTGATGGGGCAGACTTCTAGAGTTGATGAGTAACTCATGATCTGCTGGGATTATGGGTGTGAGTGCTGCTGGGATTATGGGTGTGAGTACTACTCCCAGTCTGGGGCGGATAGCCTGAATGCAATTGAAGGGAGACAGACTTGCTCTCTGTAGCCATTGTTGCTGCTGCTCCTCCCTTTGTTGTCTGCTCTTTGCCATCACCATAAAAGATTGCCCTCTGCCATGTGCCTTGGAGTCAGCTGAGTATGGACTGCAACCTCCAGTGACTGTGAGCTAAATAAACCTTTTCTTCCTTCAATTTGAGTGTTGGGTATTTTGTCCCAGCAACAAGAGAAGAGTAACTGACAGTGACCTTATAGGAATGTGCAGTCCTGATGTGGGTAGAAGTTTGTATAGTGTTTGGTTGGTGTGATGATTGCCAACCAAGCACTCTGGCATTTACTGGTCAGGGGCCAGGAAGAGTTCATAGTGGTCTAGTACCTAAATTTGGCTTATAGAAAAGCATTGAGGCTGGGGAGATAGCTCAGAGGGATAAGCACCTACCTGCCAAACATAAGGACCCGAGTTCAATCACCAGCCCCTCATGCTGTGCTGGCCACAGAACAAGGTGGTGGTGCATGCCTGTAATCCTAGCACTCAGGAGGTTGAGACAGGAGGATTGCTGTGAGTTCAAGACTCGGTCTGGGGTCTTCAAAAGTGAGCACAAGGCCTACCCAAACTGTATAGCAAAAAAAAAAAAAATTGGTTGCACGGTTTTAGTATACACTGCAATTTGCTGTAATGCAGTAAATCAAAGCAAGTTTGGGGCTGAGGAGATAGCTCAGTGGAATAAGAGCTTACCTGGCAAGTACAAGGTCCTGAGTTCAATCCCTGGTATCACCAAAAACCAAAAAAACAAAGCAAGTTTGTACCTTCTTTGGGGGAGGCACTTTTTCAAGGAGTGTTTACCATTGTGTTAACTTATTTCTGTGACCAAATGCCTGACAAAAACAATTTAGAGGAGGAAAGACTCAATCCATGGCCATCTGCCTCCATTGGTTTAGACTAGGGTGAAGCGAGAATATCCTGGGGGAGGAGAACTTTCCTCATGGCTGCCAGAAGTAGAGAAAGAGGGAAAGAGCCAGACAGAAAAGGGCTGGTGACCAGATCTAATTTCAAGGTCATGGCTCCACGATCTGCTCCCTTCATGGGGTTTTGTTTCCTGCATCCACCACCTCCCAATGATGCCATCAAATTATAATCTCATGATCCTGTTGCCTTCCCAAATCCCATCCTCTGAACACATAATCTCTTGGGGAAAGCTTTAGTTCTAAATCATAACCAGTTTGGAAACCTGTCACCAGTGTTGTTGTTAGCATCTCCTTGAGACACACAGTATAATACCCCTGTATTGCTTTGCCTTTGTACCTGTTGCCTGGATGGTAGGTAGAAGTAAAGAGTAGTATTAAATACTAACATGTTAAGAACGTTTTGGTAAGTACCACACTGAACTTGCCTACTTCCCAGTGTCTATGCAGACCTTGCAGACTCCTTGCATTCAGTAACGAAAGAGGTAATACCAGTTGCTTGGGATAGGGGTTTGCAGGACCCCTCTCCAGCTTTGCAGATTGTGCCAGTGCTTGTGCCCACATTTTTTTTTTTTTTGTATTTTTTAGGGAAGGGTCTACAGGGAATTCAGGGTCTCACTACTACATCCGACTTGTAGTGATCCACCTGTTTACAGCCTCCCAAGAGCTGGGATTACAGGCGTGTGCCACCATGCCCAGTCTCAATTGCTGTCTCAGCAAGCCCCGTGGGTGGGGCGAGCACGGCAGGCCCAGGGATCAAACCCCAGCCCCTGTGCCTGCTTGCAGGCATTTTAAGCTGCTGAGCTATTTTCTAAGGACTTATATTGTTGGGTGAGTGTTGATCAATGTGTGTCTCTTAACAGGTTATGTTAATAATGAATTTATTTATTTTTGTGGCTGGCTCAGCCCGCCCTGTGGGTGGGGCTGGCGCAGCGTGTGGTGCTGGGGATAGAACCTCTGCCCCTGCACTTTGCCTAAGCTTGCCTAAGCAGGTGCTTTAGGCCTGCTGAGCTATCTCACCTGCCCAATTTATTTAAAAATACAAAACAAATGTTTTAAATTTAATCACTGAGAAAGGGATGTTGAATTTGAGAATTAGTGAGTAAATCAAGAACACTGTACTGAAGTTTATTCTTTATCCTTTTTTCAAAGACAAATTAATTCCCAGCACTTGGAAAGCTGAAAACAGGAGAATCACCACAAGTATGATCTATGTAATGAGACCCTGTATTAAATAAAAAATAAATAAATAAATAAATAAAATTAATAAGTTAATTAATTTATTGTAAATTAATCATAGAGCCAGGGTCATCTCAGTAGTAGAAACGAAAGCGTCAGTAATTTATGTTAAATTTGGAATTATGTTTAAGTGGCAGATTTGGATGATTCTTATTTCATCTAGGAATCATGATAAAATATTTTTTATTTTCTTAATATTAATTTCTTTTTATTTTGGTATTTAGTACAGGACCTGCAGGGTCTACAGAATCTCACTACACAGATAGGACTCATAGTGATTCTCCTGTTTTCAGCCTCCCAAGTGCTGGGATTACGGGCGTGTCCCACCATGCCAGTCTCAAGCCCCATCTCAGTGTGCTCCAGGGGCAGGGCCAGCACAGCACACCAGCGATCAAACCCCGGTCACTGTGCTCTGCCCACGCAGGTGCTTTTAGTCTGCTGAGCTATCTGGCTGGCCTTTTTTAATTTTAATTTCATTTTTAATTTTTTTTTTTTGAGACAGGGTCTCTATGCAGTTCAAGCTGGCCTTGAACTCACTTTGTAAACTTTGAACTTGCAGTGATCGGCCTGCCTTAGCTTCTTGAGTGCTGGGATTACAAGCATGTGCAACTGGGCTCGGCTAAAGTGTTTCAACTAATTTTTTATGCATAATGATCAAATCTCACTTCCTGTTTTATTCTTCCAACAGACTTTATGCAGTGTCACCATTCCTTTGTGGCTTAATTATTTGGTCACACAAGCTGGGATATACCATAGGAACTTCTCTATCAATAAATTTAATTTTTTCTATTTAAAAAGATTTCAGGGGGTTGAGGAGATAGCTCAGGAGTCTAATTGCCTGCCTGGCAAGCACAGGGACCTGGGTTTGATCCTGGGCACTGCATGCTGTGCTGGCCCCAGAACCCTGGGTATGCCAGGTATGGTGGCACACACCTATACTCCCGGCACTGGGTTGGCTAAAACAGGATTGCTACAAGTCTGAGCTGCATATTGAGACCCTGTACCAACTACATAGATTTTTTTTTTTTGGGGGGGTGTTAATACTATTTATGACCTTTAAATTTTCCTCTTTGTTATTATGAATCTACCTACAGTAAATGAAGATTTATTAATGTGAAAAAATCAAAATCTGAGTTGGATAAATATTTATTAATTTTATTATTATTGAATGGAATCCCTCTCCCTGTATTAAATGTTACTTTCTTTCCAGAAATGTCTAATGCAAAAGAAAGAAAGCATGCTAAGAAAATGAGAAACCAGCCCACAAATGTGACCTTATCCTCTGGCTTTGTGGCTGATCGAAGTGGAAAGCACTATAATGGAGGGGGGAAACCTTTCCAAGCTCAAAAACAGGGTAAGATGCACACAGCGTTCTCCACTTTGTTTAGATTTAATTGCTTTTGACAGAACCTTTTGGTATTAGTTGTTATCTAAGTTGTAGATGAGCCAAATTAACAAATAGAGTCTGCTATGTATTAGTCTCAGATAATCTATTTGCAAAGTTACTTGCTGGCTAAAGTTTATTTGTGACCCCCAGATCAACTCTTACAGAGGCAAAGCAGCATTTGAGTTATGTCATGTGTAAGTTGCAGGTGTTGTCTTGTTTCAGTGGTAGAGCAGATGAGACCAGAGGTGGAGGTGACAGAAGGGCAGTGCTGGGGGTGCAGGAAGCGCTGGCTCCTCCTGGGGCTTGAATCTTAGCATGCAACTCATTTGATGCTTCTGATCTTTATTTTCACTTTTGTAAAATAAAGGAGATGGAATTTCCCAGGGTAAGTTTTTAGGATTTTGACTTCCTGTGACATGCGTGTGTGCGCGTGCGTGCGCGTGCACGCACACACACACACACACACACACACACATACACCCCTACCCTCTCTAAGCACAGAGTTTACTATTTATCTTTTTTTTTAAAATTTTTTATTTATTTGTGTGTGTGTGTGTGTGTGTGTGTGTGGCCAGCTCAGCCCACCGGGGGCGGGGCTGGCTGGCATGTGGTGGGGGATTGAACCGCGGTCCCTGTGCTTTGCTAAGCTTGTTCTAAGTAGGTGCTTTAGACCACTGAGCCATCTCACCAGCCCCTACTATTTTATATCATTGTTCATTATCACTGTATACAATGTAACTATATTGTGTTATTATGCATGTTTTAGAACTGATATCTTTTATATTTCTGTGTTCCCTAGGAAAAATAGACTGTATAGCCACCGTGTCTACATTTAATACACATGCTGATTTTAGAACATTATTAGGTGATAGGAAGGTGGAGACTTGACTCGAACAGCAGTAGAAAAATGCCAATTTGGAGTGACAGCAAAAGCAGGTGGCCTGCTTTGAAGAGCAGTGTGTACTGGGTCTGCCTAAGTAACTTGAGATTTAAATGCATAAGGTCTAAATTCTGGTTCAGTAAGTTGAGGACTGCCATGATATGCTGTAAGCTCTTATTTAAACCTTACAATGACAAACTTTGTGACAATTCAGGATTATAGTGACCTAATAATTCATACCATATGGAAATAAGCAGAGACATCATCAAATTCTCTACTGACCTGTCATCTGTTCACAGACAGGTTATCTGCTGTTATCTTAAATTCAGAGATTTGTGTAGAGACTTCGCTCTTCATTCCTTCCTTAAAAGTGTCTTCTGATTTGACAGTGCCAGTTAGGATAAGACTGAGCACACAAAATCACATGGATTGTTGCATTTAAGAGCATGTTATTCTGGTTGCTGTAACAACCTATCACACACTAGGTAGCTTCCACATAATAAGTATATATTTCACAGTTCTGGAAGTGGAGTAGTTTAAAATCAAACAGCAGGTTCATCGTTCGCAGATGCTACTTACCCTGTCCTCACACAGTGTAAAGAAGCGGGGTCTCTCTGAAGTCTCTTTTTTATGAGGGACATTATATCTCATTCATGAGGGCTGTGTTCCCAATACATTATCACCTCCCAAAGACCCCCACCTCCTACTACAGTCATGTTGGTGGTTAGAATTTCAACCTTGAAGGGGGCATACACATTCAGACCACAGCAAGGAGCCTAGCAACAATCTCATGTTGATGTAAGTGTGCAACAGAGACATTCTCCTTGTATTTGTTCTAGCCAAGGTTCTTTATGTCATACTGTCATGATTAGCTCTGTGACCTGGGGCAAGAAATTTGATATCTTTCCTCATATGAAAAGAAGTAGTAATAGCCATATTAAGTGTTGCCGTGAGATTAAAAACATAATGCTGCAACCCACATATTAGTGAGTTATGCACTATATTAGTTATGTAGCATATTCCTTATGTCAGGTAAGGATAACCTGATAAGGAGGATTTGTTTCTTTTTGTTTTCTTTTTGAAAATGCATTAGAACCTCATTCTGGAACTTCACGGCAGCGGCAAATCAAGATGACACCCCGTTCCCTGGCTGAGCCTGATACAAATGAACAATCTTCCTCCAAACTCATGTTTAAAAAAAAGGGAGGCTGGAAAGCAGGTCCTGATGGGACTTCTCAGGAGATTCCCAAGTATATAACCGGTTGGTATGGGTGAGGCAACACAGTCTGGTTGTGTTGTACGCTCTTTGTTTTTAGTACAGCCAGATATCACCTACACTCTGCAGCATTGTGGCTCTGTGTCCCTTGCCTCACTCCTCTGTTCTGTCTGCTTGGGCCCTCTCACCCCAGCCTGGACTTTGGCCATCACCTCCTTAGGCCTGATGTGCTTCCTTTTTTACTTTCTCTCCTATTATCTGTCTTTTGAGTCTGTATTGGTGACCTTAACTGTGAACTCCCATCCATCCTTCTGCAACGTTCCACCCACACTCACTAAGGTAGCATCTCCAAAGATGGAAGCAAGCTTAACACCCTGTACTTGTAACCAAGACCTTTGTGTGAGAGCCTCCCAGCAGGTTCTTCCAGACTCATCCCCCACCTCTCCTTCATCACCTCCAGCTCCTCTGCCACGTAAACCTTACATTCCTCTACACCCTTCACATCCACCTTCTGGCCTCTCCATGCCTTGCACAGGTTCACTTATGTTTCCCTGGCACTCTGTTTACTATTTAAAAAAGAATCTGTTTTTCGATAAAGAAAACCAAAAATATTATGTGTTTTGAAAAAGCAGGAAATATTAAGCAACAAATGTTTGGAGTCCAAATTATAGTTGAACATTTTTTCTGTGTAATGATTGCACTTAATAAAGGGTGTGATTTTATTACACATATATAGAATCTGCCACAAAATGTATACATATTTCAGGAAAAGAAAAATATATATAAACGTATAAATATATATATTTTTTGGAATAAGGATTTTTTTTTTTTTTTTTTCTCTGAATGTTCTCAGGGCAGGTTTGGCTGGCTTGAGTTGTGGGGATTGAACCACAGCAACCTGAACCTGACTGCTTTATTGAAGCAGCCACTTAAAGAACTGAGCTACGTGGCAGGCCCCCATATTTTTTTTGTTTGTTTTGTTTTTTGTTTTCATGTATTTAGTAGGGGTCTATAGGATCTCACCACAGATCGGACTTGTAGTGATCTTTCCTGTTTTTCAGCCTCTCAAGTGCTGGAATTACAGGCGTGCACCACCATGCCCAGTCTCAATTGCCCTCTCAGTGTGCCTCCAGCCCCAGGGTGGAGCTGGCACGGCAGGCTGGGGATTGAACCTCTGGCCCCTGCATCTGTCTAAGCAGGCACTTTAATCTCCTGAGCTATCTGGCTGGCCCTAATATTTTAATACTTAATTTATTGAGACATCATAAGATTTATTGAGACATCATAAGATACATCTTGCCCTCTACAAGATGTATTCAAAGTGGTAGCTCTTAGCATCCAGATGTTTATTAGTTGCCTAGGTAACCTTGGTCACATTGTCCATTGAGATTTCTGTCTGTGCACTTTCAGGCAGTATAGTGGGTTTTCTACATTGCGTGACATCCTTTAGGGTCCCCCATAGGTGGAAGTCTACAGCTGTTATATCAGGAGTATTAAAATATTTATACAAGTTTTTCTTTCCTGAAGTGTGTTTTTTGGCAGACTCTATACTGCATGGAGATCCTTGTTTTTGAAACCTCTTTATACATAAAGCTTTTTTTGTGGATTAGTAAAGTAAAACTGAACAGGAAAAGTAAAACCAAATAGGAAGTTCATAAAATACAAAAGTTGCAGGGGTGTCTCACAATGTTGTGACACAGAAGCAGTTGCTGTCAGCATTTACCTGATGGGGCTCAGGGTGGTGGGTGACCGTAAGCTCACATGCCTCAAGACTGTCTTCTTTCTGGAGTCTCCTGGCAAAGGTGCTGATGCAAGGCTTGGTCTCCTCCGTGTCATTTCCTTCAACAGCTGCTACTTTCGCCCAAGCACGAGCTGCTGAAATAAGTGCCATGTTAAAGGCCGTGACCCAGAAGTCTTCCAATTCCCTGGTTTTCCAGACCTTGCCGCGGCACATGAGGCGGAGGGCCATGAGCCACAATGTCAAACGCCTTCCCAGACGTCTGCAGGAGATGGCCCAGAAGGAGGTAGGAGTTTCACTTAGTGAGCATGTTTAGGTTGGTAGCTCCTAGGAGAAACTGAGCAAAACTCACTTAAAAGGCTTTTTTAAAAAGGAAAATCGGAAAGCAACAGGCTCATTATATGTTTCTTTCTTTGATATGTTTTTAGATTTAATCATTATCTAGACTTCTCCACCCTCCTTAAGCCATATTTGTAGGCATTTGGATGTTAAAGCTGCTTTAAAAGAATAGCATTTGGAACTCCTCTTATTTATTTATTTATCTTTTTGTGACATGTTCTCATTATGTATTTCTGGCTGTCCGGCTCACTTTGTAGCTCAGGCTTAGGCTGAACTCACAACAATCCTCATGCCTCAGCCTCCTGAGTGCTGAGACTACAGACATGCACCACTACGCCCAGAGTCTCTGTTTTAATGGTGTTAAATAGTTACTATTTTTCTTATTTTAAATAAAAAAAAATATTTTTGTTCATTTATTTATTTATTTGGTACAGGATCTTGCTACACTCATAGTGATCCTCCCTTCTCAGCCTCCCCAGCACTGGGCTTATGAGTGTGCACCACCACGCCCAGTTTCAGGGCTGGAATGGTGCTCCCAGGGTTCTGGGAATCGAACTGGGCTCCTTGCACTTGTAGGCAGGCACTTAAACCATTGAGCTATCTCCCTAGCCCTGGTGTCAATTCTGGCCCTTTTATTAGATTAGCATTTTGCTTCTGTGAAGGCAATAGAAGTGTTAACTTTTTACTGCACTGCAGATGGTAGTTTGTAATAGTTGTTTCATGTTGGGAGTGCCTATAATTGTGGTATTCTGAATATGGGCGGCTAGTCATGACATGCCAGTTACTGCTAAGATGTCTCTTGGGTAGGTGGATGTTCAAGAAGAAGGGGGTGGTGAATGAAAGCAAGAGACAGGAAAAGGAATATTGTGGGACTGTCCTGCTTCAAGGTTGTATATGATGAGATTTTTGGACTTATGTGCAAACATGAGAAGCATAGAATTCTTTATCCTATTTTTTAAAATATAATCTAATTTTTAAATGTTTTTTATCATATTATGTAGGGACTTAAAGTTCAACATATCAATACTTGATGAAAAATACCTGTTCCTTATTATGCCTAAGATGTTTGAAATGCAGTGAGATAGTGAGGTTAAGATTGATAGCCTAAATCATTTGATAATAACAATAAGCTTTTCTTCTGGATGGGTAACAACCTAAGTTTGCAGACCAAAATTAGAGAAAAAGGAGGGCTACAAGGAAAGCCAACTTTTTGGCCCTAGCCTTCTAAGGTCAATTAAGACTCAGGACATATGAGAACTTGTACTGTAACGTCATGTACCTCGGTAGTGTCCCAAATTTTCTGATCAAGAAGATTATGGGGCCAAAGAGGAAAGTGATCGATGATACAGAGTGGGCCTAAGGAGAGTCACATGGGGAGAAGACACTCTCTCAGGCTTTCACAGAGAGCACCTTGGCCAAGCAATGGTCGTGACTCATCCACATGGCTGCACTGATAAAGGTTCTACAATCTGAGGTACAGGATCTCAGGACAAATCCTGAGGGCATCTCATTGACCTTCTCAGACCAAAAAGCTACAACTCTTGTTGCATAGGTCCTGCTTTACCTTGGTCTTAACCATCCAGTAGAAAAGTATGAAGACGAAATATAAGAAATAAAGCCATGCTGTTAAGTTAAGCTGTGGGGGACTCAGGTCAATAATTTCTGACATTGCCAGTTAAACAGAAGACCCAATGCTATTATGGGCTACTGGACTCTTTTAGAATATTTTGCTGAGTTTACACAGCTATAATATTCAGTAACGGAACTTAGGAAAAATGGGGTACACCGATGAATGTCCATTCTGTATCTGTGTATTCAAAGTGGTTGGGGTAGATATATAGTTCCATTGTCTTAATGACTGGAATGATTTGTTCTAATGGTGTTTGTAAATAGGATCACAAGTCCGCATCTTGTACAGCAATTAACCACTAAGAAGAATATATGCAGTATATTATTTGTTGAAACTGTACTTCCGATTTGATTTGAAACTGTCTCATTGCTATATGTTTATCAATAAAACTGTAGAAAAAAAAAAAAAAAGAAGTGCTTAGCTTTACCATGTGACCTTTTTCAAAGTTGAAAACTTGAACTCATTTTTAATTTTTGTGCAGTGTACTTGTGGCTTAGTGTAGCAAAATTCTGGACTTGAATATTTTAATTGTTTAAGCTATCCATGTCTTTACTAATTCAGAATTTAGTGAGTAGTTTTCAGTGTGCCAGCACCGTGCTAGGAGTGGGAGTAGGATTCAGTGAGATGAAATCTGTACCCTTCCCAGGCTCACAAATTAATACAGATTTTTTTTTTTTTTTTGTCTTTTTGAGATAGGGTTTCACTGTGCACTTTAGGCTAGCCTTGAGCTCACTTGGGAACCAAGGCTGGCCTTGAACTTACAGCAATCCTCCTATCTTAGCCTCCTAAGTGCTGGAATTACAGGTGTGTGCCACCTCACCTGGACTAACAAAACTTTTTTCAGTGAAGTATAGCTTGATTGTGGGAGAGATTTAAGAATGAAATCCAACTAGGAATTTTGTGCTTTCTAGATTTAATGTAAGTTCAGTTTCCTAGTGATAGCATTTATCATTGTTTGACTGTAGCTTTAGTTAACTGAATTGATTGCATTTTCTCTACTTTTGTGTTTTGCTCTTGAGTTTTTGGTTTTAGTTATTCCTGTAGGTTAAAATAAGCAGCAGCAGCAGTAGGTAGCATTCAGCTTACTCTTTCTTGTCCTCTGTAAATAGCCACATTAAGCTTGTGTAACTGTATTGAAATTTCATGAATATCTGATCTTCCTAGAGAATAAAGCTTACCCATTTTATGTATGTATGTATGTGTGTATTTATTTATTTTGGCGGAACCAGGGATTGAATTTAGGCCCTTGCACTTGCCAGGGAAGCACTTATTCTACTGAGCCATCTCCCTGGCCCAGCTTACCCATTTTAGTGAATAATGAATGTGCTTTCTTTCTAAGATTGCCTATCTCTAAATTTGTACTCTTTCCATTGTCTCCATTCTCTATTTATGTTGGAGAAACCAGCAAATTATAGTGAGGTTAAGCCCAATTGCCATTGTTACAGGGTAATAATATCATTAAGCTTCTCTTCTGGAGGGGTAACAACTTAAGTTTGCAGACCAAAAATTAGAGAAAAAGAAGGGCTGCAAGGACAGTCAACATTTTGGCCCTAGCCTTTCACCATCAGTGAGGACTCAGGATATAGGATAACCTGTACTATAACATCCTGTAACTGAGGGATGTACCAAAATTTCTGATCAAGGATATTATGGGGCCATAGAGGAAAGTGATCGATGATGTAGAGTGTGCCTAAGGAAAGTCCCATGGAGAGAAAACATTCTCCTAGGCTTTCACAGAGAACAAATTGGTCAAGCAATGGCCGTGACTCATCCACATGGCTGACACTGACAAAGGATATACAAACTGTGGTACAGAGTTTCAGGGTAAATCCTGAGGGGATTTGACTGAGCTTCTCAGATACAAAAGTTACATTTCTTGTTATATAGGTCTTGTTTTATCTTCGTCTTAACCACCTAGCAGAAAAGTATAAAAACGAGGTATAAAAAGTAAAGCCATATTAATATGCTGAGCTGTAAAAGGCTCAGGTCAACAACTTCTGACATTGCAAGTCCTATGGATAACCTACTACTATTATGGACTACTGGGTACATCTCTGATGAAGCTAAACAAAAAAGGGGATACAAATAAAGGACTATTCTGTATGTGTATATACAAAATAGGATATACAGCTACTTTCTCTTAACTCAGTGAGAAGAAAGATTTGTACTGATGGTGTTTGGACAGGATATCATGTCTGCATCTTGTACTATGAATAACCACTATGAAGACAATAATATGCAATGTATTAATTATGGAAACTGTCCCTAATTGGTTTTGAAACTGTCTGATTGCTATTTGTTTCTCAATAAAATTAATAAAAAAAACTGAAAAAGAAACATTAAGCAAACTAGTGGGGTCTGTATTTAATTCTAAGGTCCCTTATTTGAATTCCTAACATTTTACCTGTTTCTGAAATGCTTAACAAACTAAGATCTACCCCTCTTCTTATAACTGTAGGCGGAGAAGGCTGTGCATCAGAAAAAAGAACATTCAAAAAATAAATGCCACAAAGCTCGAAGATGTCACATAAACCGGACACAAGAATTTAACCGCAGACAAAAGAAGAACATTTGGTTAGAAACTCACATCTGGCATGCCAAGCGGTTTCACATGGTGAAGAGGTGGGGCTACTGCCTCGGGGAGAGGCCCACAGTCAAGAGCCACAGAGCCTGCTACCGAGCTATGACAAACCGTTGCCTCCTTCAGGTATGCTTTTCTAGTAGGCTTCCTTTTTTTGTTTGTTTAGATCTTTTCCAGGGTTGAACTTTAGAATAGTTCATGGTATACCAACGTACCAGTACAATGTACTGTCTGTGAGGTTGTCCATTTTATAAATAATGCCTGTGGCATCTGGATGTGGTGGCACACACCTGTAATCCCAGCATTTGGGAGGCTGAAACCGGAGAATTGTTTCCAGTTCAAGACCAGCCTGGGCTACAAAGTGAGCTCAAGGCCAGCCTGAGCTACATAGCGAGACCCTGCTCAAAAAACTCACCACCACCACCAACAAAAAATGCCTGTGGTGCCTTGCTCGTGTTAGAGATGAAGCAATCCAAAGCTGGTGAGAGAGGCTCACAGTAATCAATGAGCCAGGTATATGGTTGTAAGATAGGAGTATGCAGTGCAGTGGATGTTTCTAACAGGAGGTCGAGGGCATCTGGCCAGGATGTGAAATATGAGCCGAGCTTTCAGGAGTCAGGCGGGCGAGTGAGGAACAGAGAAGGGGATGTGGCTGGCATGGCAGGCCTGGAGATCGAACCCCTGGCCCCTGCGCCTGCTTGCAGGAGCTTTAATCCACTGAGCTATTTGGCTGGCCCTACATGGTATGGAATTACCATCAGGATGATAACTTGATGCAAAATTGGGGAATGTGGATGACCAGAGAACTTTGTACTCTTTTTTTTTTTTAATTTAATTGAATTTTGAAGAGCTGTAAAAAAAAAAAATAATAATAATTTTGAAGAGCAAAAACAAGTAGCAGAAACAAAGACAGAAACAGGGTAACATATAACAATACATTTGTTACAGATTTTCAAGGCAAGAATAGCTAAGTAATGGTTGTTATATTATCTATTTGGCTTTTTTTTTTTTTTTTTAATGGCACCAGGGATTGAACTCAGGCCCTTGCACTTGCCAGGGAAGCGTTTATTCCACTGAGCCATCTCCCCGGCCCTAATATTGTCTATTTGTATTGTCAAATCTGTTGCTCAGATTAACAGATTGGAAAAATGCAAGATTGGAAAAATATTTGAATGTTACCCTTTGCTTTCAAGAAACCTTAATTTTTTTTACGTTTTTAAAATTATTTTAAGGATGGGGAGATAGCTCAGTAGAATAAGTGCTTGCCTGGCAAGTGCATGGTCCTTAGTTCAATCCCTGGTACCAGAAAAAAAAAATTATTTTAAAGAGAGTGCAATAATAATTGATAAGACATTAGAAACAGTCCACACTTAGAAGACCAAGATGAGAAGTAGTCAAGCATGGTTTTTGTATTACACATTGTACTGTGTAATATACATTATACTGGGTTTTTATACATTTACAAGTAACCAGAGTAACCACATTACCTCATTTTAGAGTTTTATTAATGTCACAAGGCTTATATTTCCCAAAGGTTGGTTAATATGGTTAAATTTCAGCTTACCTACAATTTGTTTTAACCGTTTGTCGATTTGTTCTTTGTGGGTTTTATGGTTAACTAAGAGGGAAGGGGGTGAGGAGTGAATTTGCCTTGTCAGTAGCATGTATCAGAATTTCCTTCCTTTTTTTAAGGCTGAATAATATTCTGATGTATGCATAACTGTTTATATCTTTGTCTGTAATGGACAATAAGTTGCTTCTTACTTTTGGTTGTGAACAGTGTAACTATGGACTAAAATACTACAAATATTATTTGAGCGTCTGCCCCAGCTGTTGTAAATATATACCCACATGGAGAACTTCTGGGTCATATGATCATTCTGTGTTTAATATTTTGAGATATTTTCCATGGCAACTGCATCATTTTACATTGCCATCTGTGATGCACAAGGGTTCCAATGTCCTCATAACCTTGTCAACACGTCTTATTTTCTATTTTTTTTTTTTTTTTAATTGTAGCCACTCTACATGTAAAGTGGATGTAGGGACCTTTTAAGAACCTTTGATTTGTGAATTCCTCAGCAGAAATCATAAGTCTGATCAAATCTCTTGATCATATCGAGTAAGCTGAGTATGAGAGAAATGAAGTGACCTGCCCAGCTTGCTGGTGGCCTTGACAGCACTTGGGCACCTGATCCTCCTTGCCTGTGCTTTGCCCACTGTACTCTGTATGTCTCAAGTTTAAGACAGTTATTACAGAATGAGTTACTTCTCATTTGGGGCAGAATTTTTTGTGAAGTCATCAAATATTTATACATTTTATTTGTGATTGAGATTTTAAGTTCCTCTATGTCTCTTTGATTCTGCTTCATGCGATCTATTTCTTTCCTGTATTGCTCATTCAAGGAATCTGTCATTTTTCTAATCTCCTATACATTTTATTAATAATATTTTCTTAACATCTGATCAGCCCTGACTAATGAAAGCCATAGCTAATGGAAGCTAATAGTTTGGAGTGCTTAATATATACCTGGCCCTGTTGTATGTACTTTACTTGTTTGCTCATGTGGTCTTTGCAACAACAGCACAAGATAGGCAGTTTCCATTATTTCCATTTTATAATAGAGGAAACTGAGGTACAGGCATGACCATACAGCCAGTGAGTGGTGATTTTGACTCCAGAGTTTCACATTGCAGCCATTTTTCTTTCCTGTCACCTCATTGTATCAATTTGGATGACATTCCTCTGGCCACTCTAACCGAGAGCAAGTACTGTTAGTAGGAAGATTTCTCTGTGTTAGTAATGGCATTAGGTGATCTGAATCACACTTTCTCAGAATCATAGCTAAATTTGCCTTGAGTTCCAGTTGCCGAGTGTACTTAAAATTGCTTAAAGATATGGCCAAGGGGTTGGTTTGGGTCAGAGAGCCTGGTTAATTGCATGCTCCAGTCAACTGTATGACTTTGCCCAAACAGCCATCTTTTGCCTCTGAGTTCTCATCTGTGAAATAATAACAGGACCTGCCTTGTTTGGTGACTGGAAGACTCAGTGACAGTTTTGTAAGGAGCTAGCCCAGTGCCCAGCCCTCAGTAACCTCTCAGTGACTGTGACAGCTGTTTAAGCTGCTGCTCTTACCGATTCAGTTCAGTTTCTCCTCATCATACTTAAATTGGTAAATTCTTACTCTCGTTACCCTTATTTTTCCCGTACATTGCTTTTTAAAACTCATCTATTGTGGGCAAGACTAAACTTGGGGAGAATGTGGGATAAGTTCGTTGTAATGTTGTGTCTCTGGGTTCAGTGCCAACCAGAGCGGGCAACATAGTGTACTTTGCAAAATTTATTACTGTCCTGCTTATTCTACTCTGGTTTTGTAACTCAAGGAGATTTGGGGAAATGAGTGATCCTTTGCTTAAAAGCAGCAGTTTTTATGCCCTACTTTGAACTTGCCTCTGAGTATATTTTATAATTATTTATTTATTTTAATTTTATTATCTTTAATGTATTTAGGACAGGGTCTCACTACACAGATGGGACTCGTAGTGATTCTCATGTTTGCAGCCTCCCAAGTGCTGGGATTGCAGGCGTGCGCCACCACACCCAGTCTCAATCTCATCTCATCGCACCCCGGGGGCCAGGCTGGCACAGCATGTGGAGATCAAACCTCAGCCGCCGTGCTCTGCCTAAGCAGGAACTTTAGTCTGCTGAGCTATCTGACCGGCCCTTGCCTCTGAGTATTGGAGAAAACAAATTTTCATGCTTAAAAGTAGGACACATATTTAAATGGAGATTCATTTTTCATTTTGGTTCTGATTGATTTAAGAATATTTGCTACTGTAATGTCAGATATTGACACTGAAAACCTTAACTTTGATAATTTGTTCTTTAGACCCCCAGAGGATTTCGGATAGGGCTTTTGGCTTCTTGGTAGTTTTTCCCTAGGTGGCTTTTAAGAATGTAATTGTGTTTTCTCTTTGTACAGGATTTGTCCTACTACTGTTGTTTGGAGTTGAAGGGCAAAGAAGAAGAAATACTCAAGGCACTTTCTCAGCTGTGTAGTGCAGATGCAGGTAATCTTGTTTCAAAGCTGAATCCTGTTTTAGTCTTTGTATATTCATTTTATAAATAAGTGACTGGCATAAGAATTTTGAAATTAAGCAATAAACTGCTTTTTCCCAATGATTGTGGTAATTTAAGAAAAATTGAACTGGGTGTTGTTGTGCACACTTATTATCCCAGCTTTCAGGAGGCTGAGGCGGGAGGATCACTGTGAACTCAAGGCCAGCCTGAAGTATATAGCAAGACCTTGTCTCCAAACAAAAAAAAAGAAACAAAAGTAAAGTTGGCCTTAAGGTCCATAATGCTGTCAGATGTAAAGTGAAGGAGTCATTCTAGTGCAGTGATCTTAGTTTCAGCTTTTTACAGCAACTGATTAAGTCTCCCATTTAATAAATAGCTATTGAGAACTTGACTGTGTGCCAGGCTTTCATCTAGGCCGTGGTTGGAGAAAATAATGCTCCAGTGCAACACTTGCGATCGAGTATTTTGCTTGTGTGTATGTCAGGCCTGACCTTCGCAGCAGTTCACTGCTTGTCTGGAAAGCGCCAAGGGAGTCTCATGCTGTACCGGGCAAATAAATATCCCAGAGAAATGCTTGGGCCCGCTACGTTTATTTGGAAGTCAGAGGGGACCCCTGGCAGCACTTCTGAGAACAGACAGCTGTGGATTTGGCTTCATCCAACTCTTAAGCAGGTAATGATCCTTTATATTATCTCTCCATCATCCTACTACTACATTTTTAATTGCCACCCAAAGTCAGCCTCAGTGAAATTTGCAAATAGTAGTATAAAAGTTTAGCGGATACTTGGTACTAGAATATAATGAAGTTGTATAAATACTGAATGAAGCAGGTTCTTTTGTTTTAATCTTTAAAACTTTTATTTAGAACCATTTCAGTGACAAAGCATGCATAACCAACTCACTCTCTAAAGAGACCTTCCACCCTTTAATGCTTCTCTCTTGCCTGAATTGCTTTCCTGAGGCCTAGATGCTTGTGCCAACCTAGTTGATAATGAGAAACCTGAGTAATTCCGATGAATTTTAATTCTGCATTTCGCTTAGCTTCCCCTTCTAGTATTGTTCTTATACCATAGGCTGTAATTTTTTTTCTTTAAACATTTTTTTCCTTTTAATTTGGTTATAATAGTCTATATTGTTTTTATTTTATTTTATTTTTATGTGTTTAGTACAGGGTCTACAGGGTCTCACTATGTAGATGGGACACGTAGTGATTCTCCTGTTTTCAGCCTCTCAAGCTCTGGAATTACAGGTGTGTACCACCACACCCAGTCTCAATCAATTGTTGTCTCAGCGCACCCTGGGGTGGGGTCAGCATGGCACGCTGGTCTCTGAACCTTGGTCCCTGCATCTGCCTAAGCAGGTGCTTTAATCCCCTGAGCTATCTGGCTGGCCCTTATGTTGTCTTGATGATTTTGACATTTGGTTCTTTTTTAGTTCCAAGTGCTGTTCAATATCCAGAATAAACAAGAAGTGTGTTTTTTTTAATTTTTTTATTTTTTAGGGGGAAAGGCTAGTTTTTTGAGATTGGATCTTACTGTGGAGTTCAGGTTGGCCTTGAACTTAATTTAGGCTGGCCTCAGACTCATGGTGATCCTCCTGCCTCAGCCTCCCAAGTGCTGGGATTATAGATGTGTACCACCATACTTGGCACAAATAGCCTTTTGTTTTCTCTTTTTTTTTTTTTTTTGGCAGAACCAGGGATTGAACTCAGGCCCTTGCGCTTGCCAGGCAAGCGCTACAAATAGTCTTTTGATGGTGATGAATTTAGTTTAATTTGTGAAGAGATCAAAACATAGAAAACAAATTTTTTAAAGTAGTGCTGTGAGGGCCAGTGAGATAGCTTAGTGGACTAAACACCTGCTTAGGCAAGTACAGGAAGCAGGATTGATCCAGTACCACATGCCACACTGGCTTTGCCCTGGGGAGCACTGAGCTGGCCACCACATCTGGGCATGGTGGCGCACACCCGTAATCCCAGTGCTGCGGAGGCTGAAAACAGGAGGATCACTATGAGTCTGAGCTCTGTAATGAGACCCTGTACCAAATACATTAAAAAAAAAGAAAACAGTGCGGTGGATGCACTCAGGGCCTCAAGCACGTGAGGCATGTTCTTGCTAATTATATCCCTAGTCCTCAGATTGTTGATTTTTAAAGGCTTGAGATATAAGCCAAAGAGGTGTAACTTGTAATAATGTATTTGTGTTTGAAACCTTAAAAATAAATGTGTTCTATGTCCTTAGGATATCTTAGAGGAGATAAAAACTGTATGTCAGTGTTTGGAACCCGTCAGGTCAGCTGTCAGCATCCCGAGCCCACCGCCAACACTATCTCAAGAGAAAAGCCAAACTGAAATGACTGATGAGAAAATTGGCAAGAAAAGAAAAAGAAAAGATGACAAAGAAGACCCTAACCCAGTGAAAAAAATCATTGGTGATGGGACTCGAGATGCACGTCAGCCATATTCCTGGATGTCTGCAAACACGGGCATTATAATCAGGTCTGAGCTGAATTCCCTGTGAACCTACTGAATGTTTTCAGTAAAGACCCCATTTCTGCCAGTGGCACAGACTGTACGTGATGGAAGTTTGCACTGTAAGATCTTCTCTGTCTTTCAGTGATTTGAGCCTGGAGATGAACAGGTTCCGGCTTATTGGTCCCCTGTCCCACTCCATCCTCACGGACGTACTGAAGGCTGCTTCTGTGCACACGGTGAGAGCGCAAGTGTATCCTCTGTATTCTGGGGGTGTTTTCCTCAGCAAATTTCTAAAACCTAATATATACTGTAAGTTGATAACATTTTGGGCCATGGCTTTTAAATATTAATTCCTTACTTATTTTTCCTATCAAGGAATTTTTTTGTCTCTCACTTTAGAAGACCAAATTGAAGAGGTTGTGATAAGTAAACTGTGACTATTTTTTTTTATTTTAAAGAAAATAAAAATTTAAAAAACAATAAAGATGATACAGAATTTCAAAACAAGTTGATAGGAAATTAATAATGGTTATTGTATCGCATGTTGTTATCTTCAGAGTAGTTTGGATTGCTAGGTGTGCAAAATGGATCAAGCAAGCATTAACCATTCTTTTTAATAAACCAATAGAAGAAAGGGGAAAATATATTTGCATAGAAGATAGCTAAGATAATTGACTTTTTATTTACAAATAAACTCTTCTTGTAGTTGTGTCTTCTAGAAGGGAGTCCTACCCCTTAGGTGGATGACAGGATGTCTCTGAAATCCCTGAAATTGTATGCCAGCTTTTGAATGTTTGACTTATGGGATGAATATTTTCTGGGCTAGTTTCTGTCGTGCCCTGAAGGGTAAGAGCAGTATGTATATCTAACTATGTTAGACATCAGCACTTCTGATGTCGCTTTCTGCAAGCACAGTGGCCCTTTGTGCTCTTTGTAAGGTAACCACGAGCCACCTGAGGCCACAAGACACTTGCAAAGGGACTCGGAGAGAATTTGTATCTTCTCTTAATTAAGTAAAAATTAGGGTGAATCAGTTGAATCAGTCTTTGTGGCTCATGGCTTGGCATAGAGACTAGATTAGGGTTTGCCTATCTGGGTTCAGGTCCTGTATGTTTTCCTGTCTTAGTGCAATTGACTTCTCAGGGTTTGGGCCTTGTGGATCTAACATGGATACCTGTAATGACAGAGTTGAATGGAGTTTGAGCTTTTAGAAGTTTTAAAAACAGAAATGGCTTCTCTCCACCTGCTCCGCCTGGTCTCCACTGTTGCTGCCTTGGCCGGCAGCACTGGAGGGCTTCGTACCTTCTCCAGCATGCCTGCTCTGTCACCACTCTCCATGCCAGAGGCAGAGTGATCTCTTAACAGCTTATTTGCTTCTTACTTTGCAGTTAAAAGTTTTGGGTAGTTTGTCATTGTACTTAAGGTAAAACCCAAAGCCCTAATGTGACCTGAATAGCGAGGGACCACCTTGGCTCTATGGCCTTCTCTCACTTCACCTTCTTATTTTTTTGGTATTGGATTTTTTTTTTTTTTTTAACTTTCTGCAAAGCTTTATTCCCAAGGGGCTCAGTCCTTCTTGGCAGCTGCCTTCCTCATGGCGGCCAGCATGTTGCTCAGCTCCTCAAGCTTCCTCTTGGCAAGGATGTGCGTCCCCACCCTTTTCTTGATGAACTTGAGGGTGCACTTGTCCTTGGAGACCTTGAGCAGCTCCATGGCGTGCCACTCTAGGGGCGAAGCCGCACACCTCCTGGATCATGTCCTGCATGAACTTGGTGTGTTTGGTGCGATGTCTGCGATGGTGGCTGTGCCTTAGTTTGCTCACATTCTTAGTCACCTTGTGGCCCTTGTTGAGGCCCATGGCCATAGGATAGCAGAGGGCCATGGCTACTCTTCTTCAATGATTGCTGTGGTGGAAGGTGGTATCGAAAATTGAACCCAGGACCTTGTGCTTACTTGGCACGCCCTCGTGCCACTGAGCATATTCCCGGCCCATTGCCTCACCTTATACACTTTGCTAGCACTGCCTTGCAGGTCCTGGGTATATTACTCTCATCTCCCCCAGAGACTTTGTACCTATTTTTCTTACACCTACTGGACATTCTCCCTCCATTCTGCTTGGCTGAACCTTCCTCCTCCTCCCAGTTCAGTCTGCCTCATTCAGTCTACCTCACTTCCTTCTGGAATCCTGGCCTGTCAGGTGGCATCTTCCCTCCTGTTGTGCTGCGTATTTCCTCAGTTTACATGCTCTGACTTGTTCGTGCATTTACGCAGTCTGCCTCGCTTGTTCGACTGTGAGCCTCTTGCTGTCTGTGTCCCCAATATGTGGAATGGTGCCTGGCAGTAACTCACAGGTTGTGGACTAGAGATTTGAATCTAGAAAGTTTGGGGCTAAAGTCTGTGCTTGAGATCCCTCTGCTTTGTGACCAGAGTTCTGTGAGGTGAATGGAATCTCTTGGGAGCTGCACTGAGTCCTGGCTGCTGGTTCTCTTGGCTTGGCACATGCCCAGGGTTTGAAGTACTTTTTGGCAGTTGATACTTGGTTTGACTCCCAGTTCTGTTGGGAAAAGGTATACATGGAGTGCCCATGCATCTTAACACTATTTTTAAGAGTACTCCAGTAGTACTGCATCCTTCACCTGAGATCTCTTCTCTAGGAACTGCTGTGGTTACCCAAGGAGACAATGAAGGTGGTGATAATAGGAGACAACTAAGGACTTTCTTGTTGGCCCTGTGCTTGACAGAAACTGAGAGTGTGAAGTGGCTCGGTGAGGTAGTCTCTTTGAACATCAGGGCAGTGTTTCCTACTATGTGAAATCTGGACAGAAATTTGTGACACTGTGTCCTTTCCTCTAATTAAAAGAGTACTTAGTCTGATAGTAATTATTAACTTTAACTATGCTGCTCCTAGTAAAACAGAATTCCCACAAGAGAAACAGAAGGGGTGGCTGCTGGTACTGCTGCCATACCCATTATTCATTCTGATTCATCATCCATGTACCTGGTGAAGAGGACTTGCTGTCTTTTAGGGGGAAGAGGACATCGAGGAGACACCTCACCATTGGTGGATTGGCGCATGTAGGAATGCTGCTAGTGTTGCCCTGCATCGCAGACAGGAAGCCATTTTTGAGTTGTTGGGAGGTACACAGAGCAAGTTCTGGGCTGTACAGGCAGTGGGGGTGGGGAGGGACATGGGTTACAGGGGCATTTGCTCTTGGGTGCCGGAGAAGTGGTCTTGAGCCTGTCTTACTGTGGTTTGTTATGATATAGTAAGAACAGCAAGTAAGAGGTACCTGGTATTCATGTTTGTTTATGAAACAGCGCACCATGGAGACATTAATGCTCTAAACAGTGGGCATTCTAATATAGATACATACATCAGGTACTAACCCAAAATCTAAACTTAAGTCTCCTGGTTGTATTTGTGCCTGTAACAGTTATCACTGATAGACATATGGTTGCATTGTGAAATAACTTCTTTCACATCAACTTAATTTTTTTTTTCAAGAAATACCCCTTTTTTGAACATCAGTTCTCTAAAATTATCAATGGAAAATAAAAGGCAAGACATGTTTTTAAATAATTGGCTGAAAGAAAATTTTTCATTAGAAAATCTGAAACCTAAGAAAATGTGTATGTCTTATGGGCGACTCTCTGTAAGCTTTTTCCCCCTTTGTTTTACTAAAGGAATAACATCGCCAGCAGAAATTCCAGCAGGTACTATCCTGGGACTCACAGTGGGGGATCCTCGCATCAATTTGCCTCAAAAGCGGTCTAAAGCTTTGTCCAACCCAGAAAAATGCCAAGGTAAAGTACTTGAATCTGGGGTTTTCCTTATTAAATGGATCATTCCAGTCTGTTATGAGAATTCAGTCTCTCATACTTCTGCAGTAATTTACTTGTGAAAAATCAGGGGGCCCTTTAGTTACCTCTCTTCAGGTGATTACAGTCAAAGGACATGGAGTGTGTGGAAGTACCTTGTATGTTTAAACCATAAGGCTGGATCTTTATGTTTGCTTATTTATTTTCCTAGTTCTCTTTTTAATTTTCAGTGAAACCTGTCTCTTTAAACTAAACTCTGACAATGCCTGGTGTTTCAGAATGTTAGTCATGAGGAAGGGATCTGCACCCGCAGCTGGTCTTGTGCTCATTGGAAGCCTCTGTCTGACCATACAGATGATCCAGGTTCGAATCCTGGCAAGGCCATCGCAGGTGCTGGAGAGTTAGAGGCCTGAGTTTTGACTAGAGAGGGGTGGAGAGTGCTGTGTGGCTGGGGGTGGGCCTGGGGTTGCAGTCTGGGATTTGTAGCAGTTGTAACAATGCCTCATTGTATGTACTGTCTTGTTAGATAGAGTTTTTTATTATTTTTTTTATTTAGTGCAGGGCCTATAGGGTCTCACTACACAGATTGGACTTGTGGTGATCCTTCTGTTTTCAGCTTCCCAAGCACTGGGATTACAGGTGCACGTCACCATGCCCAGTCTCAGTCATCCTCTCAGTGTGCCCTGGGGACAGGGCCGACACAGCAGGCTGGGGATTGAACCCCTGTCCCTGTGCCTGCCTAAATAGGCGCTTTAGTCCACTGAAGTATCTGGCCAGCCCTAGATAGAATATTAGCATACTAGGGGACAATAAGTTACATTATCTGAGCTTCACATAGAAAGCGGAGAGGGTGAAACAGGACTCTGAAGATACATGGGTAAGTTAATTTATAGAGTCTAAGGTTTTAATCAGTTAGTTGCTTTCTTTTTAATGCTGTGTCATTTAGTGCAGCCATAAAACTTGCAGGGTTTTCTGTACCATTAAATGCTATCTTCATTATCTTAAAGCCATAGTTAAACTCTACTTTGGTTTTTTGTTACCTCAAACTCTTTTCTGGAATGGAGCAGTATATATGTTAAATCTTTTCTAAAGCTTTTATCTTATTATGAATCAGTGCGAAGAAAATTAAACTATTTTGAAAAGTATGATCTAATTTCCATTATAAAAGCTTACCATCTTGTTAGCTGTTATTGTGTTATTCCATTAAAAATTTGTTTTGTGGGGAGGGGCGAAGGCTGGCGAGTCACATCCAGGGCAACATGAACACCAGGCAGGCGCTGTACCCCTGAGCTAAACCCCCAGAGCTGTTCCAAATATTTTAATTTTGTTGCAGATGAATTTTATCTTGTTACATGAGATTACGTAAAGAATATACTTTTTAAGGAATTAGCACTGTATTATTATTATTTGCAAGTGTGATATCCTGGAAGGGTTAGAGCTGGGCCCCGTGACACACTATGGGAGGCAAAGGCAAGGTCACAAGCATGTTTGATTCTAACCTTGGCAACATAATGAGACCCTCTCTCAACATAAAAAATAAAAAGGGCTGGGAATGCAGTGCAGTGCTAGAATGCTTGGGTAGCACGTGGGAGGCTCTGGGTTCGTTTCAGGCTCTGGTACTGCAAAAATACTGAAAATCCCAAGGGTGGAAGTATACTTTGGTGAATGAGTCCATTAGAAGATTAATCGTTGGGAGAATTAAGTACATGAGGTTAATGCAAAGACCTCATTCTCTGATGCAGTTTCAGACTGTCTGTATTTGAAGTCATTCTCTGTCTCTTTTGGCTTAGATGAGAATGATCAGTTCAGGGCTGGTGAAGCAATAAAGGGGCCTGGGGAGATAGCTTAGTGGCCTAAGTGTGTGCTTGGCAAGCGCAGGGTCTGAGTTTGATCCCGGGTACTGAAAAAAAAAAAAAAAGAAGGAATTACGTGCTTTGAATAACAAACACTTTAGTTTCTTGTGTGTATTGAATACTAGAGACCTTTAAAAGAGAAGGTACATGAAGACCTGAAATGTTGCATATTCTCAAACTTGATCATTTGATTTTGAGGTTTGAATTAAATAATAATTTGTTTTTACCAATATTTGTAAATCTAGTAACCCAGCATTTCATTATGTAATTAACTGGCTTTCTAGGTGATACTTACATATCTGGGGCCAAGTTTGAGCTTGTAGCTCAGCGGTAGCAGACTTGTAGCGATCCTCCTGTCTCAGTCTCCCCAGCCCTGAGATTACAGGTGTGTACCACCATGCCTGGCTTTGGTGGCTGGCTCAGTGTGGGGGGCCGTTACGGCATGCAGTACTGGGGATCAAACCTGGGTCCTTGCACTTGCCAAGCAGGCACTGAGACCACAGAGCTATCTCCCTGTCCCTAAATAATACATTTTAATAGGAAAGAGATAATTTTAGAAAGAGTATGGTCATATACAAGGCCCTGGGTTTAATGTCAGCACTGGGATAAACAAAAGCAAAACCAAAAAAATCATACAGCAAGTCAGCACAAATTCACAGAATGCCCAAATCTGTCCTGTACTATCTGTTACTTTATTTGCTTACTGTAATGTTCACTGATTTGCTCTGACAGGTTATTTTAGCTAGTCCTTGTCTGCCAGGGAGGAGTTTTCCTTATTACTAAATACGGAGATTGGTCATATAGCTCAAGGGTAGTGCACATGCCTAGTGTGTGTAAGGCTCTCTGGTTTCAACCCACCATTACCCCTCCTCCAAAAAAAAAAAAAAAAGAGGAAACAGAAAGAAAATACTGAAACTATACTGTGCTCATAAACTCATTTTCATTTTTCTCTGTAAACACTGGCTATCTGATTTTAGTATATGTGCTGCCGAAGCGAGCACAACACTGGCTATCTGACTTTGATACTCCCCAAAGCATGGGAACAGTCTGTTTGCCTTCAGAGTGGTATTTACTTTCTACTAGGTCTTGCAAACATTTTCAGATCACAGAGTGGCAGGTGACTTCTAGGAGTGCCAAGTTAATGGCCATTTTGCCATAACGTCTTTGTTTCTGCTCTTGGAAGGAAAACAATCCTAATAGCTTCAGGCAGGCACCTCAAAGCCAGCTACATATTTCTAAGACAGAGTGACTTTGAAGGCTGCAGCTCCCCCCACCCCCGGCCAACTGTGGCAGCCATCGATCCTTCTACTGCTCCGTAGTTTCCCAATGTCATATAGATGGAGTCATGTGCTTCATAGCCTTTTCAGATTGGCTTCTTTCTCTCTAATGTGCTCTGAAGGTTCCTCCATGTGCTGTCCTGTGCTTTACCCACTGTGTGTCAGCCATTTTTTTGGTCTGCAGCTCCATCGGAATAATATCTCATCTGTCACTCCAATCTGCAGCTCCTCAGGAGGGCATTCTGGGTAGACCGGGGCTGGTGGGTGGAAGCTTGTTACTTGCTCTTAGACAGGCGATGCAAACCTCTAGCAAATTCAGCACTGGTTTTCAGACCCTTGGTTAGTGTCTCTGTAAGGAGGAACAGGCACCGGAGCTGCTGCTACTCTAAGCAGCTTTCATCTCAGATCTGTTCATCATTTAATTTTCTCTTTGTTCTCCCCTGAAATCCGTTACACTGTGGCCTGGTTACTTTGAACTTACTTTTCCCTAGCCATCCGACCCACAGAGGTATGTGCTTTTGAGTGATATTTCTGTGTTGGCATTTGGAACCATAGCCAAAATTCATGCGTTGTCTAACTTTGTTGCTTTTAACTTTTCAGTCTAATGAAGTTTTTTTTCCAATGGAGACAGGGTCTTGCTCTACAGTTCAGGTTCACATTTAACTCGTAGCAATCCTCCTGCCTCATAGTGCTGGGATTATTATCACACCTGGCTTAGTCTAATGAAGTTATATTTAAGAGTTAGATTTTTTTCCCTTTGATGATTTAAATGAGGTGTCCTCTATCAATAGAGGATATGGGTGCTTATCACTGAAAATGTTTCTCTTCCTCCAGTAGAGCCCTTTCTAGCATGGTGTGGCTTGCTTAAAGGGATAAAACCGTAGGTTTCACAGGAAATACACTCATCAGAGACTTTACATAAGGGGCAGAAGAAAATAATCTAGAATTTGATTATTATAAATTTTTCTTTTTTTTTTTGGTGTTTGGTATGGGGCCTACAGGGTCTCACTACATAGATCAGACTTCCAGTGATTCTCCTGTTTTCAGCCTCCCAAGTGCTGGGATTACAGGTGTGTGCCACCATGCCCAGTCTCAGTCACTGTCTCAGCGTGTCCCACAGGGCAGGGCCAGCGCGGCACACTGCGAATTGAACCCAACCGCTGCACTCTCCCTAAACAGGCGCTTTAGTCCGCTGAGCTATCTGGCTGGCCTTTATAAATTCTTATATTAGGCAGTTATCTGGAGGCAATTTAATATTGTGATATTTGAAAAATATATATCAAAGAAAAAAGTTGAGCAGCTTTTGTTATTTCAGTGACTGAAACCAGCTATCACAATAATTTAATTTTTTACTATGTAAATTCTTTTAGTTAAATAAATGTCTATAAGATATCTTATCATAAATCGGCTAGTGTTTGGGTGTGAGCTGTTGACCTGCGGATGTGGTTTGAAGGCTGTTTCTTTTCCCTCTTAGATAATGAGCAAGTTAGACAGCTGCTGCTGGAGGGTGTTCCCGTGGAGTGTGCGCATAGCTTTATCTGGAACCCAGTGATCTGTGAGAGTGTCACAGAGAATAAAATCTCGGATCAGGTAACTAACAGTGTAAAGGCTGCTGGGAAAATCACCAGTGACAGGTGAAACTCAGCGTTCTAGAGACCATTTTATACTTCATAGGATCCTGTAGACTTCCTTTTATCTTCAGACAACTTGTTGATTCCTTAGTCATGATAATATTGTTTTCTTTTTTCCCAGTAGCAAGGACGTGCTTTTGCATTGAGCTACGTCTCCCACCCTTTCGATCTTTTCATTTTGAGGCAGGGTCTAACTGAATTGCACAGGCTGGGCTTCAGTTTTACTGGTCCTCCTACCTCAGCCTCCAGAATAGCTGGGATTACAGGTGTGTGCTGCTCTACCTGGCACCTGTAATTTCTGTTCTTAGGGAAGTATGATCTCTAGGAAAAATACAAAGACTTTTTCTTTGAGAGATAATCTCATGGTCTAAATGTGTTTTTCTTTTATTGTTATTTTCCCCCATAAATATTCTCTGTCTAGTTAATTCTGACTCCCACTTGAGAGTAGGTTCCAATACCATCTCCTGCCAGAGGAGAACATCATGTGAGGTGCTGTGGTACTTGATGGGGGGCGGGGGTGGGAGAGGATGGTTGGAGTACAGGATACTGAGGGAGCCTAGGTCAGGGTCCTGAATCTGCACTAGGGAAACTGAAGCTGTATTTCTGGATGGAAGAGCTGGTGCATGCACTTCCTCTCAGGTGGGATTGGAATTACCTGAGTTTGGGGGGCAAGGTCAAGGCTGCAGTCAAGAAAAAGATTTCATGAAGTGGGAAGAACATGTGTGTCTAAGTTATTTTTCTTTCATTGCTGGGACAAAATACCTGACTCCCAAAATGAAGGAAGGAAAGGTTTATGTAGCTCATAGTTTGTGGAGGCTTCAGCCCTTACTCAGCTGGCTCCAAGGCAGAGTGGCACATGGCAGAGAGCAACAGTTCATGGTGGCAGAAAACAGCAAAACAGCAAGAGGCAAAAGGGAGGAGCAGTGGTGGCAGCAGCGACCTCTCCCTTCCTTATATTGCATCCAGGCTATCTGCCCCAGGGCCAGTGTAGTACTCGCACGCATAATCCCAGCACCACTCACACCCATAATCCCAGCATTGGATCATGAATTAGTCATAAAATCTAGAAGCCCACCCCATGACTGCCTGAGGTTTTGGGGGACAAGCAGATGCAAACCATAACAATACACAGTGGCCTAGAACAAAACTAGGGTAATCTATTCATGAATTTCCAAGTACTTTGGGAGGCAGTCAGCAGTGGAACAGATGACACTGAAGAGATAAATTTAGGGAACTTGAGGCATTATGTGGATTAGGACTGAAGAAGGCAGCACTGAACACTGAAGTTTAAGCTGGATGGTGACATGACAGGATTTCAGCCATATGGGGGGTAGATTAGTTGGGTGGATAGGGAAGCTGGAGAAAAGACTATGGGTTGGATGGCCTTAAAAGACCCTTAAAATACTCCAAATGTGACATGGTGGGACCTAAGTTAGGGTAGGAGAGAACATGCTGGAGTTTGATATATTATTTTCCTGGACAGACTTGGTGGTTGGCTGAAAAATACAAGAGAAGAAAGGACTTAGCTGGAGTGATAGCATAGGCCTGTCACCCAGCACTCTGGGAGCTTGAGGCAGGCAGAAATTGCAAGTTTCAGCGCAGGCTGGGCAATTTAACGTCTCAGGGAGGCCGTGTCTCACAACTTAAAAAAATAGAAGCTGGGGATGTAGATGAATACGAAGGTCCAAAGTCCAATGCCCAGCCCCTCTTGCCCCCAAAAAAAGAAGTTGAGAAAAAGGAGACATAGACTTTGTAGATTAGTACCTAAGGTTCTAGCAAGAGCTTCGGATCTCAGTTATGGGAAGGCTAGGGCCGCGTTTGACCTGCTCAGGGCTGCACTCCCAGGCTCTGGAGTGTGCCTGCCCGTGGGAGGCTCCGCTGTGGTCTGAGTGGGTGGCTGCATGAGTCCTGATCACAGCTACACAGTTCATGCCCGAGGAGGGTGAATGCCGGAGGAAGGGGCAGCGCCTCAGGGTTGTGGGAACCTGCGCGCTAAAGAGAAACGTACTTTAGAGTGAACAGTATGTTTACAGTTAGATGGTAGCAGAAGCTCGAAGAAAGGCGAAAAGAAGGCTTGGGCTTGGTGATGCCACGATGACCGTGTGTGAGGTCACAGTTAAGTGGAATGAGTATCATGTGCTCAGTTGAGTGGAGGTCCTGTCACCTGCCTGTGCATCTCTCTTTACAGCTGGCAAGGAAAGTCTGAAAGATGTTGTTCCCCTTAACTAATACTTTCTAGTATCTTCTATTTTAAGTCTATGAGACCCGGGGAGAAGTTTTCACAGGAGCCAGAATATTTTTCCAGTTGCCCATCCTTAAAAAGCTATCATTAACTGTTCCATTTTTTAAAATGTGAATCTTAGTCAAATATAGTGACATAATCTAAATATGAGGTTAGTTTTGGTATGAGATTATAGGATAAATGTATCATTTTATAACTTTGAATGAGCTAGCCCAAACTTAACAAATTTAAGACAACTTGGCAGGCATTTCCTACTAAAGCCCCTGAAAGAGCAAGAATTTTATAGGAGGAATACTTACTTGGTGCTTATAATGGGTTGCATTTATTTAAGCCTTCCCTGCCTTTTTTTTTTTTTTTTCTTTTTGCAACAGGGTCTCTCTGTGCAGCGCAGTTTCTAAAGCTGCTTGTAGGGCAACCTAGTAGAATCTTATAGAAGACTGGAGTCGTTTGTCTTGAATTATTTTCTTCCACTTTAGGATTTAAACCGGATGAGAAGTGAATTGCTGGTGCCTGGGTCACAGCTCGTTTTAGGTCCCCGTGAATCCAGGATCCCTGTACTTTTGATTCAGCAGCCGGGCAGAGTAACCGGTGAAGACCGACTGGGCTGGGGCAGTGGCTGGGATGTCATCCTCCCCAAGGGCTGGGGCATGGCTTTCTGGATCCCATTTGTAAGTTTCTCTTTGATTCTGACTAATAGTTGCAACATTTAAACTACGTGCCTAGTAAATCCCAAACGCTGAAAGGGTTCCAGAATGTAGGTACAATTTAGAAGCTGAGAAGTTTAGCAGCCTAATCCTGGGCAGGGGATACTTCAGACGCTGTGAAATTTTGAGGGTTTTTTTAATGGCTGGATTTTTTTAATAGTAGTACCTGCAAAAGGTTGAGTTTTTGACTTGAAGTTTTAATTTGAAAGCAAAGTCAATTTTTATAGATGTATAGAATATACTTTTTTTGTTTTTAAAATGTTAACTATAACCATATAATACTCCTATTGACTGCAGTTATATTTTTCTCATTATGTTATTTTTTTCTTTTCCTTTTTGAGACAGGGTCTTGCTTTGCAGTTGAGGCTGGCCTTCAGTTCACTTTGTAGCCCAGGCTAGCCTTGAACCACAGCAAACCTCCTGCTTCAGCCTCCCAAGTGCTGGGAGTACAGATCTATGACATCACACCTGACATTAAATATTATTTTGGTAGTACAAATTATGAATGAAATATTAGATCATTGTATTCATGTAGACAATTTTTAGCAAATATGCTTAGTGCAAGGGACATTCAGTTATTTAGGTATGGGAAAATTTTAAAATGATTCCACTTGATTTTTAAATTTATGAAATGTTTCAGACAGCAAAAAAAAATGCTGATATGAAAAATGGTTATATGCCCTTCACCTGCCATCCTGTAAGGAAGGAAGCATACAGACCCAGGGGATTACTTTGGGGCCCTCTCTCTAACCTTCCTCTCCTCCCATCTCTTAAAATCATCTTGATTCTAATTTTGGTGTTTGTCACCTCTGTGCCTGTTTTTGTAGGTTTATTAAATGTTTTTATTCCATAATGAAATAATTGCACTTGAAATGTTTTTAAACTACATCTCACTGTATGTGTACTTCTGCTGCATGTTCTGTTTGTGCAGTATGGAGGTTTCCGTGTTGGCTTGTAAGCTCCATTTCATTCCTCTTCTCTGTCATTTGGCAGTCAGATGTAGGGTGACCCCACCATGTGTCTGTCCAGTGTCCTTTTAGTGCATGTCTTGGTTGCTTCGCATTTTCCCCACAGAGACAATTAGGAACTGTACTTTAAGTTTGTAAATTGATGGTCTCTTTTGATATTTTTTAGATCTATCGAGGTGCAAGGGTTGGAGGATTAAAAGAGGCTCTAGTGCATTCTCAGTATAAAAGGGCACCTTCCATCCCAGGTGATTTCCCAGATTGCCCTGCTGGAGTTCTCTTTGCTGAAGAGCAAGCAAAGAATCTTCTTGAAAAGTACAAGAGGTAAGGAGGTGCCCTCTTGCTTCTGCTCATGTCTTAGGGAATAAGAGCTGGCAGTTGGGGCCTCAGTTCCATAACTGCACAAGCAATGTGGTATCTTTTCTTGAGTGTTGCGATCCCATGAAGTAATTAAGATGATACCGTGTAAGTCATGAAATTGTCATATGTCCATGTGGCTTATGTGGGCGCATTTAGGCTACAGCCTCTCTCTTGGTCCTTTGCTGGCTTTGATAGTGGAGTTTGCACATGGCTGTGAGTTTCATACATGTGCTGAGAAGTCTTAGGATCACCCTCCTCCTTTGTGGAAATTCTGCTTTTAAAAAACTGGTTGTAGAATTAATACACATATATAAGATTTTAATGCATCTGTGAAAATAGTTAAAAAGACATCACAAACAGATAGAGTCCTGCTGTCTGTCCTGAGAGATAAGCACTGTTTTTATATATTAGTAGCTGTTCTTCTAACTTTGTTTCTGTTCTTTTTTTTTTTTTTTTTCATAATTTTATTGATAAACAAATAGCGATGGCACAGTTTCAAATGAAATTGGTAGGACAGTTTCAATAATTAACACATTGCATACATTCTTCCTAGTGGTTATTTGCTATAGATGCGGACATGATATCCTGTTTACAAACTCTATTAGAACAAATCCCTCCATTCATTAAGAGAATATAACTATATATCTATCCTAAGCATTTTGAATACACAGATACAAAATGGACATTCATCTGTATCCCCTTTTTTTGTTTAGTTCTGTTATTTGAATATTATACGTGTGTTAACTCAGCAAAATATTCCAAAGGAGTCCAGTAGTCCATAATAGTATTGGGTCTTCGGCTTCACTGGCAATGTCAGAAATTGACCTGAGTCCCCTACAGCTCAAAATAACAGCATGGCTTTACTTCTTATACTTCGTTTTTATACTTTTCTGCTGGATGGTTAAGACCAAGATAAAGCAAGACCTATGCAACAAGAGTTGTAGCTTTTGGAT